CAGTATGTTGGAGACTAAAACTATGGAACGGGGGAAAATATGTACATAAATTAAGTCGATTAATTTGGTGAATTTGAAGTCTAATGGAACACAATAATATTATAAGAATGTATAATATTAACTGAACATTGTATACGATATATTCATACGCACTGTGAATTGGTTTTGGTTGATAGACGGCATAATACAACACGTTACATGATCCTACAATAATTAAATTCGTCGTTAGTCAGCCCGTTATTTTCCTTTATTTTTGACGACTCTATTTTGTTTGTTCTCGCCCACGGTGGTAGCATAAAATTTTAAACATCATCCCAATGCTTTATTCACCGTGGAGTACTCGTTTCGAGCGATGCAGCGTCGTAAAATATTCGTAAAAATGCTGTCTGTCTCGTCTCGCCGTCAAAATAGCCGTTGTTTCGTTTTATTTTTCGAGCGCTAAGTCCGACCGTGGCAGCACGCCATTTTGTTTGCCCCCGTTCACGGTGAGAGCATGAAATTTTAAACATTATCGTATGTTTTATTCATCGCGAAGTGTTCCGTTTCGATCGAGCGTGCAGCGTCGTAAAATATACGTAAAAATGCCGTCTGTTTCGACGTCGTCGTCGAAATGGCGAGACCCCCCTCTTTGGATGATTGATCGTCACGCACTTTGCTCCCCAGACGAGTAAATTTGCAAAGTAATCCCAGTTTTGCCCCCTTCGAAGGGGCACGGAGTTTCGGCACGCTATGATTCGTTGGGCGGGGGGTGGATCGACGCTAGACGACGCGCGATTAAATTTGAAAGGTTCGCACGATTCGACGCGACGCGGCGCGTACACGCAATTAAAAGTATTGATTTAACGATTAACGGGTTGAATTGACTCGTGTGTTGTCCCGCGACAGGTCCCACCTTCTCGTTTCTCTATTTTATTTTTATTTTTTGTCAACGCAGAACAGAGCGTTCGACGAAACGCGCCGCGCGCACGGAGCTTTTTAATTCCCCGGAATGTCCAATTCTGTTCGCGTTACTTCTGGAACAAAGGGCTCCTCCTCTCTGGGTGTTTTTTTTTTTGTTCTCTCCACCGGACGGACGTACTCGCGATTAAAATTAACCGAAAAACGTTCACGTTCCGTTTATGCGAAACTGCGTCGTTCGAGGGACTAATTTTATCCGTTTATCGCAACAGATCTTCCGTTACGTGCTGGTAAGAAATTAACGATCCATAGAACGTTTCCATCGATTTCATCGGTTTTATTTCGAATAACGTGGACAGGTTAGACAGAGGGTCCCGCGGAGCCATTCGTTCTGTTAGAAAATCGTTTGCTCGAGAACTGTCTGAGATGCTCGGTTGAAACAGGACGCTGCACCGTCATGAATAAATCACACGCGACGCACAATGTCTGATGGAAGTTCTTTCAATAATTCATGCAATTCATTACGCAAGAAATTGACGTAAGATCGATCTGATCATCTCCCATTAAAGATAACGAGGAGTTATCGAACATCGTACACAAATAATAGAAGATTCAGTTTATGATCCTCGCTTGACGTTCCCTCTTCTGAAAAGTTCTGATCTAAACTTTATATTCCCCTTATCGTGTTCCTTGTTCGTTATCTTAGTACCGCTTGATTATCTGGCGAACGTGTGCTCGAGTTGACTCAGGCGCGGCGGTTAAGTGGTTAACTCTACGGTGGTAAGTTTTTTTTATCGCAATTCTATCTGGAGGAAAATGATGTCAGAGGTACGAGACGAATTAGTAATTATTTGAGAAATTAAGAAATCGTTCTTAATCAATATTTATTGCTGGTTCGAACTAGCAACGTGCCTTTGAGACGTTCGAAATAAACGAACCTTGGTATTTATAATGTTTTTAATAACGTCAACGACGTAGTATTCGTAGTCGACGCGTTTATATATTGATATTCTACGAGCCTGCAAACTCCTGCACGATCCTTCAGAGGCGTAGTACAGTTCCAATGTTCTTGTTGCGAGACTTCGGGGAATCCAGGATCTTGGAATAGGCGTGGGTGTTATAGGACAGAGCAAGGTTTATTGCATAGTGTTTCGGAGCATCCATCAGGATCTGGCGACGCAGGTGCTAGGCTGACGCAGGATTTAGATGGCGTAGAATTTGGGCGATGTAGAGAAAGGTCGTGTTCGAATAGATACACAGTAAACCCTCGATTTAACGGATTTCGGATTTAATGGATAGAAGTCCCGTGTCGGTGCATCCCTAAGTCGTACGCCATTTCCGTTTTCGTGTTATTTTACAATTGCATAATTTTTTCGAGGATGGTATCTCTTCGATCTATATTGAAAAATTGTGAGCGAGAAACAAGAAACGTCGTATAATCAAAGGCTGTAAATTCTTCGCTGTAAAATTTGTATTTTAATAATTTTATCACCGTACGTATATTATATATATAAAACATACAATTGTACGTGTAAAAATCGAGTAAAGTCATTTTGCTTGGCGCTTTGTATTTGAGATAATTGAACTCGTCCGACAAATCATCGATATTTCTACTTGATTTTCTCTAGAACATGTCCACAAGCGAAATAAAATGTTATTCTTTTTCCCCCCGTTTATTTTCATACATTGAATCATCCTTGCTCGATTGCACCACCCTTCTACCCTGTGTGCTGCAATATTCAGATCCGAAGTGTCCCAAGAAAGCGGATCGAAACGTCGATTAAATAATGCATTCGCTAACAGCGAAGGGACTGCCTTCCAAAATTACTAGATACGATTAAATAAATAAAACGTCCCATTCGTGTTTGCTACTCGACTCAACGAAAATGTGATTCCTTTTCTGTCGTATGTCGAGAATCCTCTTCTTTTTGTTTCGGTAAATCGTTTGAACGACACGATCGATGCACGTTTCGTAGGCATATATTAACTGCGACGACTGAGCAATATCGGAAGGGAAAAGCTTTCTTTGAGAGGAACAGAAACGACGGAGAAGGGGTTCGACGAGGGTCTATCGACCAGCCTTGACCCTCTAGAAACCGCTCGCTCCTCTACTCGACCGCGTTTCTCACTGAAATCGTCACAATTTTAGAGCACACCCTTTCCACTTATGCAGCTATTGCTGCGGGAATAGTTTGTTTGACCTCCCTGACCGTTTATCGCTTTGATCATAGACAATGGGAACCGATGAAGCTTTTAAATTGTTTGTAACCGCGCGCCGAACCGACCGGCGCGGTTTACACGTGTGCCGTCGATTTTCGAGTACTCCACGAAAACCTCTGTCCCGTTTTTCCTGTTATTTTTCCAGCACACGCTTAAACCAAGTGTGTAATTTCTGCTACGTTTCCCGCGGAATAAACCTCCCGTGGGAAAAAAGTCTCCGGTTATTTCAGTAAACATGTACATGTCAACATTTTTGGCAGGTTTTTAAAAATTATTTCATCCATAAATGCTTTCGAGAAAATAGATTTGATAGATTCATCGCGTACGCGTGGAAAGAGCACGACTCGGACTTCAGCGCAAGTAGAAATAGTGATTAATGGTCAGACGCGCGAGGCAAGTAGTATTAAATCGCGCTCCTTTACGACAAATTTTCAATTTCAGTTATCTCGAGAACCGCGTCTCGAACGAGAATATATGTATTCGTTTTGACCACTTATTTTTGCGCAATTTACGTTAACAAAATAATTTCTAAGAAGATTGCTAAATCGTGTTTCGCAACCGAACGATCCCATTTTCTCGGTATAATTTTGATCGATCACGTGATTAAAGTCGTCGGCAAAACCACAACGGTTTCTTTTTTTTTAACACAATTTAATCCGATTTTGCGCAAACTGCGGGTTTTATTTTCGGAACGGTCGGTAGACTTAATAGAATTACGAATGTATTTATGAATTTTTTCTTCCCCTGTTTGTGCAAATAGACCGTAGCTCGGATACTTTTGATGAATTATTTACTTCTTATTACCGAGACGAGAATGTGGAACTGAAAATGTAAACAGCGGCCTTTTCTAGCAAGCAATTTTTGGGCAACCGAGTCGGTTAATTCGATTTGATCAATCATTGAAAAAGTAATATCGAAACGACGTCATACAGAAGCTTTCCGTAATTGCGTTCCTTATTTGCATGTACGTTGCTCGTACAGGTGCTCGGTAAATAAATAATTGCACTCGCGAGCACGAGCGCGAGGAACGATACAAGTGCCCTCGCGATTGAATAAATTTAGACATTGTTTGTATCGCGTACGCTCGCAGCACCGTTTCTGGTGCTATATTTATCTTAGTATGTAATACATAATTCAACGCTCGCCGGTGTTTCAGCGTCGGTAGGCACACGACAAAATTGTACAGCGCGGTTATGCGCAAAGTGTTCGCAACGTCGGTACCTTGTAATTGAATAATCGTGTAATTGTATAGAACTGTAAACTTGCGTATAACGACATGGAATTTAGAGAGCACGTTAAGTGCTCTATAACCGATAACGGCGAGAAAAATCCTTCAAGGCAGCCAGACTGTGTACTCTTAATTGCCCGTAACAGTATCGAAACAGTTTATACTATAAACAAAGCGAAAACGAATTTTAAAAGAGGGAATTACATTTATCAAAGATAGATCGTAAGAAAATTGTTTCCAACCAAGTAGAAGAACTCGTCTCGATTCCAAGCCTCGTCGACTATGCAACCATAAAACTCTGCATAAGCCACGAGGAACGTCGTTTTAAGTCTCTTATTCGGGTCTCGGAGCGCGCGATCCATTTGCACTTTGCGGTTCTATTATTTCTGCGCGCTGAATTTAGACTTTAAGTCCATACTTTATTCATCCGCGACACGAACGATGAAAGAATACGATTTAATATCGATCGTCGCAGCAAGAACTGTACTTCTTCGGTACGGTTGAATATAATTAAAAATTTACGGATGCAAAGAACGAGGAAGCGGTGGAACACCGTTAACGAGAAAAATGTAATTGCAAGAACAAAATAAGATAATTGTAGAGTCGAACTTCGAAAAGGAGGGACGTTCTATCGAAGGTTAATTTTTGATTTCAGAAACACGGACCTCGAATGAAATGCGCCGCGTGTAGAGTGGTGGCCCACGCAGTGTGCGCGGTCAGTTTAAATTTCGCCTGCAAATCGAGTTTCCGGGACGTGGGCGTCCGACAGTATCGCGAGCAGACGAACACGCTCCACCACTGGGTCCATCGTCGATCGCAGAAGGGAAAATGCGGGAATTGCGGCAAGTCGTTTCAATCGAAGCTGAGCTTCACGTCGAAGGAGATCGTCGCGGTGAGCTGCAGCTGGTGCAAGGTCGCCTACCACAACAAAGAGGCGTGCTTCAACGTGCAGAAGATCGGTGAGAACTGCGAGCTGGGCGCCCACGCGTCCATAATCGTGCCACCCTCTTGGATCGTGAAGCTGCCCAGAAAGGGTAGCTTCAAGAGCAGCCTGAGGAAATCGCCGCGGAAAAAGAAGTCCGGCGAGGGCAGGAAGAAGTCGAAGGACAAGGACAAGGAGCAGGAAAAAGATCAGGGGCTGTGGGTGGTGAAACCGATACCGACCGCCACCGTGAAGCCGGTGTTGGTGTTCATTAATCCCAAATCCGGCGGTAATCAAGGAGCCAAGTTGTTACAGAAGTTCCAGTGGCTCTTGAACCCGAGGCAGGTCTTCGATCTCACTCAGGGTGGACCTAAAATGGGGTGAGTTTGTGGATAACGCGCAGGATGGACCGGGAAATGGCAGCATTACCAGCGTTGTGCTCCGAACTGATCGAATTACCTCGAATATATCCCTCTATCGCACGATACCCTTGATCCGGGAACGCACAATAAGTTTGTTGAAACTCGATTCTTTGTACATTTTCATAGAGATTCGCCAAGATTTTATTTAAATTGTCTCAAAAAACGCCTCTGAAATTAAGCTGCTCGTAGAAATATTCAGCGACGAAATTTTCGAAGATCCGTGCAAGATGTAAAATCATTTTGCTTTTTTAAAAATAGAAGCATAGTAATGAACATCGAGCCAAACGATTTTGAGCGACAGTTTTAAATTTAGAGGTTTAAGTTTTAATAGAGAAGCGGGTTATTTGAATGGAAATTGAGTTGAAAATGAATTGGCTGAATGGATTAGGCGGGGGTGGGGGGTCGGGATATTGGAAAATATGATAAATGAACAAGAGGTTTAATTAAAGTTCCACTGGCTGGTTCGCTGGCGGGAAGTAGGCGAATAAAGGTGAACAGTTGTCGCTATGGTATTAATGAAACTTTCTCGAGAAGTTTATTCGAAAGTTCGAGCATTTCGTTCGTTTGCATTCATGGGGACGTAAACAAGAGTCAGTGAATAGTATCGCAAACTAGTTACTGATAAAGGTGCTACGATCTTTTGTCTCGCTGGTCCTTTGCTCTTTTCAAAGACCGTTCGATTCTTCCTCGAATATTCCACTTTTTTAAACAATGAAACTCCATTTCCACAAACATTTTCTGATTATAACGTAATTTCCGAATGACTGAAGCATTTACGTTTGCAATATCGAGCTGACGGCACACGAGAGGCACGTTAAAAGAGAATTTCGAACTTTCTGGTGTACAGCGAGTCGTGAAATTATTATTCGATGAAATTACATGATGCGACGAATAAATTCTCTTCGAAGCATCGAATTAGAAAAATAATTCTAGGCACCGGCCAGGTATATTGGGAGGATATCGTTGGATGAGGGTGAAAATTTCGACTTTTTTTTCCAGGCTGGAGTTGTTCAAGACAGTTCCTAATCTTCGCGTTCTCGCCTGCGGGGGCGACGGTACCGTCGGTTGGGTGCTGTCGATACTGGATCAAATCGGTGCATCGCCGCCGCCAGCGGTCGGAGTGCTTCCACTTGGCACTGGAAACGATTTGGCCCGAGCCTTGGGATGGGGCGGCGGTTATACGGACGAGCCAATCGGGAAAATCTTGTCGAATATCGGCGAGAGCGACACTACGCTGCTGGACAGGTGGCAGCTGGTCGTCGAGAGAAATCCTGACGCTCAGGGCGATGACGACAACGGCAAGGGCAAAGAGAATCTGCCTCTGAACGTCGTTAATAATTACTTCTCCCTCGGCGTGGATGCTTACATCGCCCTCGAATTTCACGAGGCCCGAGGTTAGTGTCAACCGCAGACGTTTCATTCCGAAGTCTCTCAATGCGTAGTTCTCGACGTGCAACAGTTACTCGTGGCGTAACGGCAAATAGTTAATTGCTGGCTGGTACTCGTCCTACGGAGAGCAATTAATCTCATCCGAGAGCGCGCGAAATTTTCCATAAAATTTTATTCGATACTTATTTTCGTAAGTTTGCTAAAATTCGTAAATCCTATCCAAATTTACTTCCACTCGACGTCTGAACTGGAGAATTAATTTTTCTAGTTTCGCGGTGGAAAATCAGTGAAAATGTTTTTAAAAATCTATCGAGAATAGGTATCTCGTGGAATCTCTAAAAGTGGAAATGTTTCGACAATATTTGGGGATCCCCGGTTCCGTTCTCATTGAAAACACACGTGTACGAAAACGGCGAATCGCATTGTATTGCAGAGGCGCATCCGGAGAGGTTCAACTCTCGACTGCGAAACAAGATGTATTACGGGCAGATGGGCGGCAAGGATCTCGTGCGACGGAAATGGAAGGATCTCTCGGAATTTGTGACGCTGGATTGCGACGGCCAGGACATGACACCGAAATTGAAGGAGCATCGCGTTCACGCCATAGTCTTCCTGAATATTGCCTCTTACGGTGGCGGAACGCATCCATGGGGCGCGACCAGTGGAACCAAGGAACCATCGACAGACGATGGTATGATCGAGGTGGTCGGTTTGACGACTTACCAGCTTCCGCTTCTTCAAGCGGGTGGGCACGGTACTTGCATAGCTCAATGTAGCGCGGCTAAGCTGGTTACCACGAGGACCATTCCAATGCAGGTTTGTTCATTCAAACGATAAAAGCGCTTCTTCGACTTAATTTCATTAGCCAAAGAATTAATTTGCCACTTATTTGCTTCGATGATTTCAACCCAAATAAAGAACTAAAGGTTTGTTGGTTATTCGAGCAAATACAAATTTTTATATTTCGTCTTAGATTCGCTAGACTCGTCCAGTAAAGCTTTTCTAGTAGAAATTTATCTCCATATTTTTTTACAAATATCCTCCATAATTTTGTTAGACTTTCCAGAGTTCAAGAGATCATTAAATTATTTAAAACGCGATTAAAACACAGATATACAAAGGGTGCATCGTGTCCAAGTGTTCGGTTAGAATTTGAATCAAAGTTTGGAGAGTTTATACAATATAGTACCCCTTGGAAACTAATTAGGATTTCTCTAAAAGCGGGAGTAATTAAGGCGGCCAGCATAGAGCGAGAAAGTAGAACGGGAAATGCGGCGAGACGGGTGATCCTTCATAATCCCATTTTTAAGGTTGCCTCGACCTCCGCTTGTTTAATGATAATTTAATGGTCACGGGTATCGGTACGGCGCTTTGGAAGTTTACTTTTTTAATTCCGGAGAACGGAGAATAACGGCGTTATCGATCGCCCGGAGCCGTATTAAAGAAAAAATGTAATTTCTGACGCAGGTTGACGGAGAAGCCTGTCGTCTGCTGCCATCCATCATCGAGATGAAACTGCTGAATAAAGCGACGATGTTGGCGAAACGAAGAAACGCCGGCAAGCCGCAGCAGGACGTCGTTCAGTTGGAGAGATTGAAATTGCCGGTGATGAAGATAAAGATGTCCGACTACGAGAGGTATCATCACGATAAGGATATGTTGAAAAAGTCGGCGACGACGTGGATATCGGATCCCCTCGATCTCGACGCCACCACGGATCTCGAATCGTTGAGGAAAATACTGGCGAAGGATCACAACATGGACGCGTGTTGCTTCCTCGACTGTGAGTGTCGATGCACGGTAAATTAAAATTCTATCGCGCCACGATACCCGATCTTCTTTTTCAGCTTGCACCGCGGAGCGGTTCTTCAGGATCGATCGGGCCCAAGAGCAGCTCCACTACGTCACCGACGTGGCTGTAGACGCGGTTTACGTCCTCGAGGAGACCGTGGCCAATCAATCATTGGGCGAACCCGAAGAAACGAAGCTTTCTCCGAACCAGGAACCGAAAACGGCTCAGCCGTCGCCGAGGTACTCCAAGATAATCCTCTCCATAGATTCGTTCATCATTAATTAACACGTAGCTTCATCGTGGCTGTACCGTCCTCTGTAAATACTGCTCCTCTCGAGAGGGTTCTTCGTGTCTCGTATAAAATGAAATACTTTCTTTTAAACTATATTTAAAATTTGCTTTTCGTGGGGTTCGTTTCTTCGAAGTCGATTTTGGAGTTCTTCGATTTTTTTTTCTTCGGTACAGCACTGGGGTATATCATTAGCAACTCTTTTATCATTTATGTAAACTATTACGGAAAGTTTCAGTTTAACGTATCCGTATAATTTAAAGAAGAATAGGTTTTAAGACACGAGGAAACCTTGCGTAACGAAATACTCGTTTCGTGTTCGTCGTATAGCGATATCTTGTTTCTCCATGTGGTAGTGACTTAACTTTCGTATTTCTGTGTGTTACAACGACGAGCATAGCTGTGAGATTTGAACGCGTAGTCGCATTTTGTACATAACTATGTGTAATAATGATACCTTGGCTCCAGCGTCTTGTCCCCCTCACACATTCGTCTGTGTGTCCATGATAATGTAATGGTAATGGAATCGTATCATTAGATTAATAGAAAGAACGTGTAATATAGCGAAGAACGACCAAAGACAAATGCAGCCATGACAGAAGAGCCGGCTAGAGACGAACCAGCCGAAAAAGCACCAGCTGAAGAAGAACCAGCTAAAGAAGAACCGAATGCGCGACCGAATCCGGTACCGGAGAGTACAGCGCCAAACGATCAAGACTCCGCGAAGTCTCAGGGATCGATAAGCAAAAGTGCAACGAGTAGCGAACCAAAGAATGCAAGGAACGGGGAGAAAGCGTCGGTTAACGCGAACAGAGTAGCTGAAGACCCTATAAAGCAAAGTAGTTCCTCGAAATCGATCTCTGCGACGGTTGTCGGTCAATCGCAACATCAGGCACCACTTACCTTCATTAGGTGGGTCATTTGCAACGGCTGTACCTGAAATGGCTTCGACTCGAAGCCAGAACGCGCGAAACAGCTCAACGTTCGTTTGTTGCAGTCCACGTGATAGGCTTTTCGGTCTGAGTTCTGAGGTCCACTCCTTTAGCACGGGATTACTCGAGAAAACCAGCGACGGCATCCTGAAAGCGGCGAAAATCGGCGATTTTCAGGCTCTTAAGGATCTCCACTCCAAGGGATACTCTCTCTTGTCTATCGACGCCACTGGACAAACTGCTCTTCATCTGGCCTCCAGGCATGATCACAGGGATATCGTCAGATATCTCATTGCTTGCGCACCATCGACCATTCTCAACATGATTGACAACGATAAGTAAGTTTCAATTTTGTCGTCGATTGTTACGCGGTGGCGACTTCCTCTGTTCTCAGATTTAATTCGACGTCTCGATGCTCCGCAAAATAAGTCGTAGTCGTGGAATAAGTTGCTTTGAGAATTTTCCAAATTGTCAAAAACGATACTTAACGTTTGTCTTGAAGTTTGAATCGATCGAATTCTATTTTTTAAATATCCCGCACAAGGCGACGTCAATATTGGGAAGCGACATCGTCTGAACGGAGGATGTCGCCTCGACATTGTTTACGGAGGATGAGACGTCTCCTCAAGCAGAACTATCGGGTATCGTTAATCCTATCAATTTTCTGTTTGAAAATAGCGATGGCTCCGATAATAACGAAACCCACGGAAATTCCAAACGAAAGCGTATCGCGTCAAAAACTAGTTCATACTCTTAACGACGTCGATACGGTAAACGAGGACATTTTAAAGTAGAGAGATTTTAAATAACGAAGTCTGATTTAGCGCGCTCGCGACTCGAAACGAAATGGCTCGTAACGAAGCATGTAAATGTACTCCCACGGCTTGGAAACAGTTCCGACCGTGGTTCCCCAGAGTAAATTCGTGGGCGATTATCGACATTAGCTCCAGGAACAAAAGTGAAACGTGTCCGAAAAATTAATTGAAACACGTCACGAGTATGAAAATATTAAAAATACATATTCGAGGCGTTATGAGGTGCGTTTTTTTTTGTTTTTAACTCCTGGGGGTCGTTTGAATACGAAACATTGTTTACCGGTAAAATCACCTTCGTTTTCTCGCTCGGTCCCCGGCGTAAAAGAATCTCCAAGGAAATTCAGCGTACATACGCGGAAAGTAGAAGCCTTTAAAATAACCCCGGGAAGATTATTGGACTTCTTTTCTCGGAGTTGGAATAATACGAAGATTACTACGAGCGACAGCGTGTTTACGGGATTTCCTCGAAGACCAGTCCCTTGGCGGAGCAAAAATTTATTTCGACTTGTTTCCGCTTTTTCGAGAAACCGCCTTTCGCTAAGTTTGTTTATGACGGGGCGTAACGTCGGTCCAAAGGGCACGCCTATTCCTGGCGTGTAAACAAAAATCAAATAAAAGGAGAGATTTTTTTTCTACTTGCAGAGGTCAGACCGCTTTGCATAAAGCGGCTCAATATAAGCGTCGTTCCATTTGCTGCATGTTAGTAGCAGGCGGTGCTAGTTTAACCATCGCGGATCGACGCGGCCACACGCCTCGTGATCTTGCACTGCAAGCGGAGGACCGCGACCTCGCAGCATATTTATATAGTGAGTGTTTTGGTCTTTTTCTCGAAACGGACGTTATTAAGGAAAAAATTCTTCCCGGATAAATAGAACGACCTATGCACATAAGGTCGCCAGGATGCATGCTTTAGCTACTCGACTGGGACCACTTCGTCGACTTCCTTCGTATATTATTATCGATTTTAATTACCATCGACAAAGATATCCGCAGTACGAAAAATAATTTCAATCTTTTTTAAAACAATTTTTTTGCTCATGAAACGATCGATATATTTTATTTTCATTTGCATTTATAGAATCATCGAAGTGATTCTAGTTGCCTGGCATGCCTCGTATAACAGGACGAAGAGAATTTCCTAATAAAGCTTTTTTTCATTGGGTTGTGCCATCATTATTTGCCACCTTTTTAATTACTTCGCTTTTTATTGAAAGGTTTCGAAGGGGAGGGAGTATAATAGAAATATCACGACAATGCGCGCGAATTGAGAAATGGAAACGAATAAGAAGCCACTGCGAACTATTTATAACGAACACTGAGATTTTATTTCATTTTTATTTTGCTTCTCGATCGAACTGCTAGCGCAAAAGCGATCCCAAGATCTTTTTTACGATTAATGCGCGCAACGTGGCGCCTAAAAATATTGTTTTACCGATTTAAAAGAAGGCAAATAATAATCGTACCGCTCAGTAAAAATACTGGCGTCCACAATTTTCGATACTTTTCGATTCGTCCTGATCGATGGTTTCGTTGGATCGAGGGAGATTCCGTTAAATTAGCGTCGCTTTCGGCGCTGTTGCCCTTTCGGTGGATCGTTAAATCGACGTTGTTCGGTGATCTAGGTCAAGAGCAGTTCCAGCTGACAACGGAAGAAATGGAGAATGCCCTTTGACCTCCGATCGTAATTGGCAGGGCCTGAGCCAACCCTAGGTGAATCTGCCGTCGTTGGAATCCGGAGGAACCCTAGTTCACGACGATCCACCCCGATCGTCGCGTAAACCGCGCGTATTTTGACGACGATCTCTCGCGTAAGTCGCAACGTGATAAATCGATATTCTTCTTCGATAATTTAGGTAATGCGTATTTTACCAGGTGCTCTCCAAAAAAGAAAAAAAAAAAAAGTGTCTTTTTTTTCTCATCGAAACCTCGAGATCACTTTCCACGAGCGTGTTAACGATACATTATACATACGTAGGTAATTCCGCGCTACACGTACGTGTTATATACAAAGGTAGCGATTTTTCGATTACGAGTCTATACATACACGTGCACGTATATTTTTAAATCGCATGCCCATATACACCCGCGCAACGAGCATACACGTAAACAAATTATACGCTCGTTTCTCGTCGACGACGGAACGACGCTCGCGTTTCGTTCGTAAATGAAAGACAGAGAGAGAGAGAGAGAGAGAGTGAAAAGAACAAAGGAAAAATGACATTCGACAACACGAAGATGGGGGGAGAACAAATAATATCGGTAAGAGATTTTTGCTCATTCGCGATCTTGCTCGCGACAGCGAGTTCAGAACCCGAAAGCGATCCAGACCGAATCAGTGAGAAACTAGGATTAAAAGGGAAAGTTTGATCGGATTTTAATCGTGAATACTATTATTCGCATCTTCGTTTGTATAATTTTTATTTTATATTTTTCTACGTTCCATTTCTAGCTTATCTACCGACAGAGTGGCTTTACCGGTTTATCTTTAGTCCGCGATTTTTACATTTTCCTCCGCGTCTAGTGATAACGTATAATATTTTCAGCGCGGAAAGAAAATCGAACCTAAGTAGTATTTCAGAGAGTTGGACAGAATCTTCGCTTCTATTCCAATTATTATTACGAAAACTCGATCGTTGACATCGTTCTTGAAAACGATATTGTTAAAATTTTTATTCGACGTAACGATTCGAGCGGGCTTCGAGTGCCACTGATTTATCGTACGCGATTATCGCGTTGAATATAGTATATATATATCGAGAGAGAGAGAGAAAAAATTCTATCCGACTCTGCTGGGCGTCTAACGTGTATGTATTTCTATCCTCCCGTTGAATTCTCCTCGCTTGTTCTAGGATATCTCGTTGCATCGGATACATATCTTTTTCTATAAGTGTCGCGTTACATATATGAACATATATTATACATATACATATATTTTCTACGTACGGTTAATAATGAATATATTTATTGTCTCTAAGATGCAGAAGTTTCTTCACGATACTGTTTTTCTTGTCCGTGAACGCTCGTCGAACTTCTTGACGCTGCTTGGACACGCATACACAGACAAACAAAAAACACTTACACACGAATAAATACACGCAAGGAAGAGAAAACGAAACGCAAAAAGTAACCAGCCTTCCGAAAAGGATTATTATTCATCGTTCGACTCGAAGATACGTTCGGATCGACGCGTGGCCGATCGATCTCTAGCGCATCATTCTCGATCGCTTTAAATTTAATCGACATGTTTTCCAACGCCGTAAATAGCAGGTCGCTGTTGAAAAGAACGCGGAAGTTTCGGGTTGCCAAAGCGCCGTGGATCGTTTCGCCTAGCGTCGGATCCATCGATGTACAACGCCACTCTAAGGACGACGGGATCCAAGGTACCAAGCAGTTTCATGTTCATCGCGTAAGCACGTTAAACTCATTTAGGCGTTAATCGATTGAGATCGACGAGGACGAGAGAATGAACAAAAAAAAATATTGAAAAAACAAAAAACACGAATGCAGCGCGTTCGAATGAAAGGAGCGAGAGAGTGTGAGAGGGAGAGCGAAACGTGATAAAAGAGAAAGAGAAAATTATCTCACTCGGTACCAAAATGAAAAAGGGGATCAACGTACGAACACCAATTAGCTCTTAAAGGACGGTCTATCGTCGCCATTATGATACTGTTAATTACACTTAGACTACTCTAATTTTACCGTCGAATTATATATTGTATAATGTATGCATAGTATCCTTCTGAGTATTCGTCCTGCGGGCAAGAGAATTATTCTGACAGTATGGAGTCACGACGATATACCTGTAGGCGTCTGCGAGGTAAGTTGTCCCTGGACGCGCGCGAACGTCCGATCGATCGCTCGATTCGATTTTCAACGGTGTATATATATTTTAAATAACGATTTTTAAACGTACCAGAGGAGGAGATTCTTTTACAGTGACGATCAAACGTGTAATTTTTATGAATATCGAAATATCGAGAAGATCTATGGTTTTAAATATCTAACCGGAACACTTCACTTTCCACTGTCTTAAAACAGTCTAACAACGTGTATTAAAAATACTAAAACGTTACACGCGTGCAGTTCCGAAACTATTAGTGTTTTATGCATTATCGAGCCATCGTTGGCAACGGCAAAGCCTCCCCTTTAAAATGGTTCTCGATTTTTGTCGATCCGACTTTCCGTTTTGGAGATATCGCAATTTATGTAAATGGCAATTTTTCTTAATTCGACTATCTCTGTCTCCGTCTGACTCGTGACCTAGTTACTACGATCACGTGCCGGTCAACGACCTTGACAAGGCCGTAGTAAGAAAGTAAACAAACGCTTCGACGAAAGTAAACAAACGCTTTATATCTCCGAAACTAGCCACCGCATCAATTTGAAATTAAGAATCGCTATATCACCGGAACTAATAAAGCTATCGACTTGTTCGAACGCTCATTTTAATTGGCATTTCATCCCCTACCTAGCGATCATGTCACCTACTATAATTTTTGCTATCTTCTATGTTTATTTTGAAATTTACTTTGACGCTACATACTTAAAGTAGTTTCAGCACTTCCTATAAAATATATAAAATATATAAGAGAAAATATGCGACATGAAAGAGAAGGATATCTTATGAATAAACTTGAAAACGAAAAAGAGAAAAAGGAAGACTGGTCGTTTGACTGGTCGTTTGACTGGCCATGATAGGTATACATGAAGTGCCGGTAGTTTTAGTGTTAAGAGACCGACATCCTGATCTTCAAATTCGAAACGTAATCGATCGTTAAGACGACAGGATCGAATCGAGCGCGCGAAGAATTGCCGCACAGTCGAGCGCGTCCCCATCCTCGTGTGTCTCTTATCCTTTGTAATTACCGAGTACTTTTAAGGATCGTTAGGCCGATAGAGAGGTTTAGCGACGAGTAATCGTACGTGTACGTATATAAATAAGTACATCCGTAGGGTACAGGTATTCGATAACGATGGCAAAAAAAAAAGAAAAAAACGATTTAGAGATGCCTTCGAGTGTAAGATACGTTGTTCTGATTATTTTTTATATGTAGAGAGTATTAATCGTAACGCCTTTGTAACTCACCTGGGGAATTGCGACGTTCATTGAACGAACCACCGTTGTATTTAATGTCCCTATTTAACGAAACGCCCGTCGCGAGCTAAGTCCTTCGTGTAATAAACGTCGCAACGATTTTAGAGGCCAGTAAGAGAAGCCGGAGTATTAAAGACTTTGAACATTAGTTGAACACGTTCTGTTTGATTTACAGCGATCATTATCCTTGCGTTGTCGACGCTTTGTCGTTGCTTTCCGTTTTTATCCTTGGTTACGACGCGATCAAACTCCTTGTCCAACATTTCCCCGCGTTTCGAACGGTCCCGGAAAATTTCGGGATCCTCGAATTACCGGATTTCCGGTACCGTTCGTCGCGATTCGAGCCACCTTTGCGGTACTCGGTGCGAAGATCAAACGTTTCCGTGCAATAATTCGCACCACCATTTGTCGATACGACTGTTCGAACGATATTTATCGAGCGTTTGGGGTTGTACAACGGGTCGTGTGACGCGGCTGCCCCGTGCTGGATGGTTGGAACGTGTGTGGTATTTATTTAAATGGAAATTATTAAGTCGAGAGTGAATATTGTTCGATGTTAGAAAATATACGCGAACGAAACTGGAATAGTCGACCTATCATTTGCGAAGAAATATTTATATTTTACTTAATAGACCGAATGGAAATATCTGTTTCTTTGCAAGTGCTTTTCAATCTTTATATTGAGATTTCGAAATGTCGTTCTATATTCGGTCGTTCGATATTCCATCGATGAAATGTAATATTCCAACGCCAGATGCATTTGTAAAGACAAATGTCAGAGGAGCGCAGAAGTCACGGTTCTGAGGTTCCCGACGAGTTTTATTTTGCTCCCACGTTGTGCAATGCCCATCGGATTCGAGGATATTAAATTTTCTTTCGTCTGTAAAAATGATCGGATTCCAATACCAGATATTACAATAAGTATTGTATTATTTACATAGTCTTTCGCGAGGACTTCAGTTATTTGAAATTTTTCATTTTCTACGGATTGTACAACTCCACGCATTTTGCAAGCGTCGTTCGAACAACCGTGTCGATGATAGTTGTACACAGTGGCTTTTATAACCGGCTCTACGTACGATAAATCGTCCTGTTTGTGGTTCTTATTACACATCGATCATCGACAGGAACAGCTGGGTTTTACGATCGTCCTACGGTTCTCGTCTCGCGCGAATCATCGTCGAAGTCGCGTTTATTGGGCGAAGAGTGCACTTTCGACTACTGTTAATCGTCCTGTGGCTCGCAGGAACTCGTAACGTTAACGAGCGCGATCGAAACATCCCGGAATCGGAGTTTAGGCGCCGATTATCGCGGTGCATTTACACGTTATTGATCAAGCGTCGTTCGACAGATCGTGAAAGAATCTGACGGCGCAATCGTTCATCGATTAAACAAATTTTCGATAATCGGGTTGTCGGATTAGTGCTGTCGAATACTCGATGATTAGTGTTGAAGCGAATTATGTTCGATGGTTGGTAATTTTAATTCGTAATTGTCGATTGGATCCAATTTTTATATTGTTGCAATTGACTGAAAAAATAATTATTTGGGTAAAGGAGATGAATATTCGAGTCTCAACACTAATTGTCTCGGTAATCACGTATTTAAAGGTACGATTCTACGAACTACCCAATATTTTCTGCGAGTTGTGTGCGATTTCAAGAGATCTCCTGTACCTGTATTAAAATTACAAATAATTGTATACTCCTCTCATTGGTGCGTAAATCTAATACGAAACAAATCACGATGGATTAACTCTGGAAACGTTTCGAATTTCTTACGAATTTCCACGAAATTTATTCTGATAGCGTCGTTGGTCAGTTCGTTCATATGTACGTGTATAAGTGTATTTTTACTAAAAAGTTATATTTATCGTCTTAAGCAACTAAACTGAACGTAGTTACGTAATTCGAATACACCGATATCCGGTAAATTTAATTGTACAAAGAATCGATCTAATTTTGTCTGTTCTTCCCCCTCTTGGACCACTCGTTTTTCGAAAAAGAACAGGACGCGACAAACTTGACATTCCCTTTGAACTTTCTAGAGTTAATCGTAGCTTTTAACCTTTCGTCGGAATTCAATCACGGACGCGACGCCTGTTCTCCCTTTTTCTTCTATTTTTCTGTTTCTTTAGGTCGATCGATTAATAAACGAACGACCCGTCGTATTGGAACGTTGCTGCGCTACAGTGTTCCTTAAACGACTAATAACGAACATTAAAAGCCAATTTCTTTACATTCACAATTATCGAGCAGTAATTTGTTTCAAATTTTGAAAAATTTACTCGAGAACAGAAAGGTGAAAAAAGGGACTCGTTATTTTTTGTACGAATAACTCGCGTAACCATTTTGGGACACTGTATCGCGACAAAAGTCCTCGCTTGTACATTGATACAACGTAATACACGGACACTAATGTATATACCTATACGCCAGATACGAATACGATGATATTTATTGAATTTTTCGAGTACTTAATAAAGAAAGAAAAAGAAGAAAATCAATGCCTTTTGCGGTTCGAAGCTGTGTCGCGAATCAAGGGAGAACCGGATTGCGAAGATGGCGAACGAAGCTGTAAGATCGGCCGCCACGAGCCGTTTAATTTTTCTTTTCGTTCAAACACTGTTCTATTCGTCGTCGGTTAGGAACCGTGTGCCTATTGCTCGGTTTAGCGTTAATCTTAGGGGATAATTAGGGCGGAGTTTAGGGTCGAGTGTCGAGTCGCGGGTCGAAGCCTTGCGCCGATCAATCGGTCGCATCGTTCGAGAGTCTTGGCGGAGAAGTTCGAATCCGACGATAACGAGGATTGTACGCGATGCTAATTAAAAGAGCTAAGTTCGCATGGCCGTGATCCAGAAAATAGTACGAACCGAAACGAACGTTTAACCAGGAAGATCGATTCAGCGACGGATGGATATCTTCCGGCGAGATTAAGCTCGTAATTTTAACTAGCTGGCTGGCCGTGAAAATTCCAAAATCCGAAATCCATCGGTAGAATCGAAGTGGGTCGAACGAACGAGGCCAATTACCGATGGATCACCGGACAGAAATTACCCTTAAAACGTGCACTCGCTGTTAGGGTGTTAACGATATCCCTCGGGCGTCGGAGCCGACGCGTCGAAAAGTGGACAAGCGGTTTTGACGCGTAGAGATTGGCCTTGCCAGTTAAAGTTTAATGAATCGGAATCGTTAAGCTCGTGGGAGCTTTGCCCGCTTCGGTTCTAGAACCGTCTGGATGCTATTATCGTCTATCGCCCAGAAATAGTTCGAAACTAAAGAGAGTTGCGATCTCGTTTAAAATCTGTTCTCGTTCCTAGTTTTACGGTTTCAACCGAGACTCGTTATCTTAAGTTTTCTCGTATTAAATCTCCGACGCGACGAGAGAGTTTAACCGCGGTGCATGGAACCGCGATTTTTCTTTTATGGACGCAAGAATGGGAGACACCGATAACGAAACTTATAAAAATGTTATCAAAGATCGTCGCTACCTGGGTCGATCAGTGGTATTAATTTCAGAGATTATAAAAACTAACGGTGGGAAGTATAGCGTTGCTCGTAGTCACGCTTCTTTTTCATACAGAGTGTACAGTATCGTTACCCGAACGACCGAACGGTACGAGTACAGTTATCCGAGCGATATTGTATTTGTTATCCTTTTTCTAATGTAACCCGATTCTCGCG